GTGACAAAGAGTTCCTTTAAAGAGATGTTGATTCGAAAAACACATGGCAGGGGATTAGCATGCTACTTCGAAATTATCAAAACTCTTGAAGTCCTTCGAGGGCACTTTTATTGGCCAAAGATGTATGGAGATGTTTACGCCATCATTTTCCGATGTGCGACGTGCTAGATGGTGAAGAGTCATTTTCATGAAAGGCTCTATACTCCCCTTCCGGTACCAACATGGCCTTGGGAAGATGTAAGCGTGGATTTTATCGCGGCGCTCCCTAGAACTAAAAGGGGCAGAGATACCATCATGGTGGTTGTTGTTGATCGATTTTCCAAAATTGACACATTTTATTCCGTTTTATAAGACGAATGATGCTTCTCACATGGCCGAGTTGTATTTCAAGGAGATTAGTGGTCTACATGAGGTTCCTAAGACCATTGTATCCAATCGTGATTCCAAGTTGCTAAGTTATTTTTGGGGGAAGCTTGGCACTAAGCTCCTATTCAGTACAATTTGCACCCCCAAACTGATGGCCAAACTGAGGTAACCAATTGCACGATCACCATTTTTTTTTAAGTATGGTAAATAATACTTCGAAGGATTGGGATTTAAAACTTGCACATGCTGCATTTTCTTATAGTTGATCACCGAGTTACACTACCGGTCGATTACGTTATGTATGGATCAATCCTTTTACACCTATCAACGTGATACCCATTCTATCCAACTTTCAAGTCAACTATGAAGCTGAAGAGAGAGCCAAAGTTATGAAGAAGCTTCACGATCCAAGATCGAAAGAGCAAACGAGTCAAACAAGCAGAGACAAAACAAGCATAGGTAGAAGGCTCAATTTCAACCCGGTGATCTTGTGTGATTACACTTGTGGAAAGAAACAATTCCATCTCGCCGAAAGAACAAGCTCATGCTTAGAGCTGATGGCCCCTTAAAATTCTCAAGAAAATCGGTGACAATGCGTACAAGATTGATCATCTTGGAGAATATGGCATCTAGGCAACTTTCAATGTAAGAAACCTCTCTCCTTATATAGAAGATGGGGAACTATTAGATTTGAGGATAAATCTCAAACAACCTGAGGAGTTTGATGCGGGAGCATCAACCTCTGTCGATTAGCCCTCAAGTTCAACTCGTGTTTCGTTGATTGAAACAACATATTCTCTTTTCATGCAAGCAAAAATCAATTTCTACTACAATTTAATTATGTGGGTTCAAGGATGAAGCTTGCCGATTATGCGACATAGTTGTGGATCTACGAGACTTGTTGTCGATTTCGAGAATCCCAATCGAATACCTAGCAATTGGAGGCTATTCTCATTAATTTCCTTCGCAGATTGTTCATCTTCCAATGTGTTTGTTCGGCTTTCAAGACTGGTGCATGTATTTAGAGTCTTGTCAAGTTTCTATGCATCTAAAGATTAGTTAAATGCATTTAGTCCTAGCTATTGAGTCTCTTAATTCATAGCTTTCAAGATTTTCCATTGTGTGAACTAGGGGTGTCAGAACCGAACCAAAAAATCGAACCGAGATACGAACCGAACCAAACCGAACCAAAATTTTTGTGCATTTCGGTTCGGTTCGGTTTTCGGTTCGAATACTCGAAAAAAACCATTCTTTTTCTTTCAGTTCGGTTTATTTCGGTTCGGTTCGCATCGAACCGAACTGAAAATACACCATTTGCTTTTTACCCTAAAAGGCTCTTCAGACCGGTGCTACTCTCTCTGGCTCTTCGTCTTCCTCAGCCTTACTTCCCAGATCTTCTGGCCCCATTCCGTCAAGAAGAGCTGGACACTATCAACCTCATCCTCGTCCTCTTCGCCATCATTTGCGAGTTCCTCAGCAGATCCAACCACGGCGGAGACGCGGGATCGTCGGGCTCGTACCCGAGGTCGGACTCGCGGAAGTCGTCGTCGTCGTCGTCGTCGAACCCGGCGACGCCGTACAAGTGGTACGATAGCTACGACCGTCGGAGCTCCGATCGGGGCGAATATGGGTTCTCCTCGAGTTCGTCTGGGAGGATGAGAAACAGCAGCTCGTACCCGGATCTGAGGGACGCTTGATTTACCTTCGTGTCTCTTCTTCCCTCTGCTTCACCAAAGGGATGCGGAGGTGGAGGGGCTGAGGGAGTGGGTTAGGCGAGCTGGTGGATGGCCTCGAAATGGAGAGGGCGGCTTTGAGCGACGAAAACCTGCGGCAAGCTAACATTTTTCTCCCCCAACACACTCAGCAGCTCCTTCCTATACGCTGAGTCCATCGACACATCCCTCTTGTCGACCCAAACCCCGAATCCCCTTAATATCATCCTCACGGCCTAACAATCCTCGAACGTCCTCCGAACTGGTGAAATACACCACAATCCTATCCTCCTTCCCCGGCAACCTAAACGAGCAGCCGTGATCGTACCCACAATCGACCGACTTCGTGGGTTTCAGCTTGGAAGGGGCATGAGCAACCACTACGGTTTGAGCCTCATCAGGGCCCCGAGACAGGGACTTGGCGGATTCGAACAAGCTGCAGAGCCTTTGGACCTTACCTTTGATGGAATCACCGGTGGTCATGAACGATTCGAACGAGCTGTAGATGCACGAAACCAGCTCACTCGAAAGAGGGCTTACCGCCACAGGGCTTTTCCGCGGGCTCCGCGCACATGGTGACCGACCGGTTGAACGGAGGCGATCTCCGCTTCCGTTCAGAACAAGAAGTTGAAGTTGCAGAATGAGAAGTTGGTCAGGGAGAAAGAGGAAGGGGAGAGAGCGAGCGATCCATGCGAAGATGAATAAAAAGCAAAAAAAAAAGAAACTGAAAACTGATCCGAACCAAACCGAATTAAACCGAACCAAATTGATTTTTCGGTTCGGTTCCAATTCGGTTCGAGGGGGTTTTGGCTCGGTTCAAGAGGGCACCCTTAATAGTTCGGTTCGGTTCGATTTTTCAAGAAAACCGAACCGAACCGAACCGTTTACACCCCTAGTGTGAACGATTATCTATTCAACATTTAGGCTTTGGTGGTGAGCTTTTCTATCTTGAAGTCCTAGATCATTGGCAGGTGGTTAGTCCTTTAAGCCTTGGTAGCAAGCTTCTTCAATCTCGATCTTTATCTTTGATTGGAAGTACGTCATTTATGCCTTGGTAGCAATCGTAATCTATCCGCATTTTCACTTACCCCTCGACATCCATAGCCATAAACTCCGATCTATCTGTATTTCCTTCAACATCACTCAAATCAATACTCGCCCACCCCACAACCGCAACAATAGGATCAGATTTGGTGATCTTATATAGATAATCACCAGTGCTTTAATCTACCTTTTTCTAGTGCAGTCCAAGTTGGTTGCTACTATCAGTTGACTCCCATTCCGATTCATTTAAAACTTTTGCTTTCTAGATTTTCTTCCACCTACTCCACTACAAAAAAAAGTAGATTTTAGCGACGAATTTTGCCACGAAAAAATTGAGAAAATTCGTCGCTAAACGAATTTGCGACGAAATTAGGGACGGAAAAAAATTCGTGGCTAATTCGGCGTCGCAAAATTTAGCAACGGAAAATTTCAATTTTCGTCGCTAAATTGCGACAGAAAAAAATTCGACGCAAAATTCGTCGCTAATTTGCCACGAACTTTTTCCGTCGCAAAATTCGTCGCTAATTTGCCACGAACTTTATTCGTCGCAACATTCGTCGCTAATTATTCGTCGCAAAATTCGTCGCTAATTTGCCACGAACTATATTCGTCGCAAAATTAGTTACTAATTATTCGTCGCAAAATTCGTCGCTAATTTGCCACGAACTATATTCGTCGCAAAATTCGTCGCTAATTATTCGTCGCTAATTTTCCACGAACTGTATTCGTGGCAAAATTCGTCGCTAATTTGCCACTAATTTTTTTTGTTAGTAATTTGCGACGAACTTATTCGTGGCAAAATTCGTCGCAAATTTGTCACGAAAAATTTTGACTTTTGTCATGAACATTATTCATGAACAAATTTAGCAACGATTTTTTATTAATTCTTTAGCGACGAACTCTGCGACGAATATCGTTTAGGGACGAAATTAGCGATGAAATTTTATTTTTGTAACGAACTTTTATAATTTGTGATCGTACAATAAAATCATTTATTTTATTTTTCGATTTTAAACTTAATTAAAAGCAAAATTAATTTCTGAAATTTATATTTAACATTGATTAAGCACTTAATAACATCAAAATATTATAATAATATGAAAATGAAATACATTCATCTACATTTTCCACAAGAATGACATAAATATTTTTCTTTATAGTACACATAATGAGAGAATAAATAATCTTGCATAATAACTAATCTTGCACAATAAACAATGACGACAGAAATGAATCAAAAACGAATATCCGGCTTTTAGCGACAATCTCCATCATATAAATACTGAACAAAACTAAAGACACGGTCCATGTGAGATGCTCACTTCCTTTGCTCTGTGAAGTTCACATACTGATCAAGTGCTTTCTTGTTTACATGATTAAACTATCGGCGCTGCTCGTTGCATCTGTGAAGCATATTCTGCAATTCTTTGATGCTCCTCCGTCTATACCTATAATCTCAAACATATAAAATGAGGTATGATGAGCTTCAATAGTGGAAACCAAATTAAAATTCAGTAGCAAAGGGAACATACGCCTCAAAAGCATTTTCAAAGTTAAAACATTTTCACAGTTAGACAAGGGAACATACGTCTCAAAAGCATCAGAAGATAATGGGCCCAAGTTCCTTATCTTTTTTGAGTACTCATCTTTTTAGCTGTAAGAGTATTACTCCAGCTAAAGAGTTGTTCAAGTTCTTTAGTTTCATCCTGAAGTGTTTTCTCATAGGTGTCCTCCAAAGCCGCATTCGAGCAATCATTTGAGAAGAAACCAAAGAGTTGAATACCAACATTTAGTCCACACTGAAAAAATTAAATAGTACCTTCAACTTTGCCATCTCATCTTTGATCTTTTTGATTTGCTTATTTGTTTCCGCTGTACTTTTATTAATTCCTGATAATTTTTGTTTCAATCAAAAGCGCGAACAAAATCTAAAGCTTCAAGACAACAATATTCCGATCAATCCAAAATTTCCACCTTCTAATCGCTGGGTTGCATCAATGACCAATGATTTAGTATCTTTTAGCTCCTGCCACTTTGATTCCGCTTCATTTTCATGCAAATCAATCTCTGATGAGGATATAATAGCCTCATACTCTTGCTTCTGCCTCTTGAGATTAGTTGCAAGGTTAGTCTCAAGCTCTGCTTTTCTTGTTTCCATCTGCAAACAAACAAAAGTGATGACCAATATGCACAAAAACAGCACAACTGTACTCTAGCAAGGTTCTCATTGCCAACCTCAATGCGAATATCAACAATACATAGAACTATATCCTACCTTTTCAGCAGTTACAGGCTTTGTCAACTGGGGATTGCGTTCTTGTTCTGAAGTGACAAGCAAGAGAATGAGCATCTATCCAAAGAAAGCTTCAAAAAAATTAATACATGAAGCACTACCTTCTGCAAGTGAAGTCTGAGTGTTCTTGAGCATCTATCCAACGATAGCTTTGTCCTCTCCATTTTCTTCCTTTCCCCCAGAAAAAACAAAAGGAAGAACACCCAAGAAAGAACTCACGCCGATTCGAGCCTCACCCCGCTATTCGCAACAGCATAAAAAAAGTCCAAAATTGCACGTCTATTCGCAAATTGGAGAACTGGGTCATTCATCAAACACTTGCAAAGCACCCTATCCTGACCCATTTACCCTATAAACTCACAAACATCATCTCCATTTCTCGATCAAGACTATACCCAATTCTAACGAAACAAGAGCAACGACAACCATTACAATAATCCAACGATGTATCTATCAGTTAACACACAAACATACTCGAGAACTTCAATAAAAAGGTCACAAAATCAGAGTAGACGGAACGTACAAATCTCGGAATGGGACTGACGGAACGTACAAATCTCGGAATGGCTGGAAACTATTGGGGCCCTCCTCCCACAGGTAGCCGTCCCTCTCGACGGTGGTGATGTTGCCGTCGACGCGGTCCCTGGCCTCGGTGACGACCACATCGGGGGCCCTGTTGCGGTGCTTCGTGGCGAGCGCCTGGGCGATGCAGAGCCCGCTGATCCCGCCCCCGACCACCACGCAATCAACCAGTCCCCCGCCGGCGGCCCTCGGCTGGGAGATCGCGGGGCCCTCGGTGAGGGAGCACCGGATCCCAGCGGGGCACGCAGGAGGGCTTGTGGGCGCGGAACAGGCGGAAGGCGACGGAGGAGGAGGCAACGGCGGCGGCGGCGGTGGCGGTGAGGGTGGCCATCATGGCTGGCGGAGGGGAGGAGGGAGCGACGGAGAGGTGTTTGGCGGAGGGGGGGTTCTGAGGAGTAGCAGAGAGAGAGAGAGAGAGAAAAACTGGGGTGAGGGCGGGTAGATTTGAGAGATTGGCGGGGAGCTAAATTCAGAGTTCGTCGCTAAATTTAGCGACGGATTCAGCGACAAAGGTGTGAAAGTGATTTTCGTCGCTAAATCCGTCGCTAAAAATAAAATAGTCACGAACGTGCCCGAAAGTGATTTTTGTGGCTAAATCCGTCGCTAATTAGCAACGGATTTAGCGACGACAAAATAAAATAGTCGCAAATGTGCCCGAATGTGATTTTCGTCGCTAAATCCGTCGCTAATTAGCCACGGATTTAGCGACGAAAATATAAAATAGTCGCGAATGTGCCCGAATGTGATTTTCGTGGCTAAATCCGTCGCTAATTAGCAACGGATTTAGCCACGAAAGTATAAAATAGTCGCGAATGTGCCCGAATGTGATTTTTGTGGCTAATTCCGTAGCTAATTAGCGACAGATTTAGCCACGAAAATATAAAATAGTCGCGAAAATATAAAATAGTCGCGAACGTGCTCCGAAAGTGATTTTTATGGCTAAATCCGTCGCCAATATAAAAATAGTCACGAAAGTTATTTGCCTCGCTAATTTTCTTTCGTCGCTATTTCCATCACAAATTAGCGACGAATTGGCGTTGGTTGCTAATGTTCCGTGGCTAAATCCTTGTTTTTTTGCAAAATTATAATTTTGCAACGAAATTAGCGACTACGCAAATTAGCGACGACCTATTAATGTTAAAAATTCAGCAAATACAAAATGTCGCCAATGTCATCGATAATTTTGTGATGAACACTATTTGTTGCCAATTAGCCACAAATAAGTTTTCGTCGCAAAAATAGCGACGACTTTTTTTGCGACGATTAGCGACGAAATTAACTACGACTTTCGTAACTAATTTTGTCAATTAGCGACCATCCAAATCCAATAGAAAATAAAATATCACAAATGTCATCGCACGAATAGTATTTGACTTGTCGCCATTTAGCGACGAATTTTCCGACGACCTATTACATTAATAATAATAACAATAATAATAATCAACAACAACAATAATTATTATTATTATTATTATTATGACAACAACAATAACACATGTCGCAATAATAATAATAATTACACATAATTAGTTAAAAGTCTCAAAAATCATAATCTTCATCTTCGTCTTGATCTTCATCTTCGTCTTCTTCATGAGCATCATCTTCATGCATCCTCTATCTCAAAATCCGATTCTTCAACACCTTCTAAATTTGATTCACGAATTTCTATTGGCTTCACATCTATTGTTGCTACACATGGATCTCGTAAAGTTTTAATGTTATATTCCTCAGTTTCAACCATGTTACAAACTTCCTCTTATTGATATGCTGTATCATTCAAGTATTCCTCAATTTTTCTTCGTGCTTTGATTTTACACACAACCCATCAATCAGTTTTGTCACATTTCAAATTAGGATATGATATACGAATTTTGATGCGGAATTTATTAGTGGTGCAGAAGTCCAAACGGAAGGCGAAACGGTGACGCGACTATAACAGGAGGACCTGATCAACCAAATTTGGTCGGTTGAAGCGAAACGGCTTTCTAAACACAACTCACTGCCGTTGGCGATGATCGACGATGGATTTTAGCGATTCAGGATCATTTAGATGACTTTTTCAATTATTTTAATATTTTTTCTTGACTTAATTTTCATTTAAGGGGCCGTTTTGTAATTTTTATATTTGACGCTTTGTAATTTTAATTTTAGGGTTATATAATCTTGTTTAAGGTTTTTATTTTTGACGATATAACATTATCATCAATATCGAATTTCGAGATTTCTTTCTCTAAGCAAGGTTTTGCTTGAAATACTCGTTGGACGCTTTGTCAAATTTTGTGACGAATGTGCCACAAAAATTATTTTTCGTCGCAAATTACGTTGCAAATTAGCGACGAATTTAGTTTTTGTGGCTAATTCCGTAGCTAATTAGCGACGGATTTAGCCACGAAAATCACTTTCGGAGCACATTTGCGACTATTTTATATTTTCGTGGCTAAATCCGTCGCTAATTAGCTACGGAATTAGCCACAAAAATCACATTCGGGCACATTCGCGACTATTTTATACTTTTGTGGCTAAATCCGTTGCTAATTAGCAACGGATTTAGCCACAAAAATCATATTCGGGCACATGCGCGACTATTTTATATTTTCGTGGCTAATTCCGTCGCTAATTAGCGATGGAAATCAAATTCGGGCACATTCGCGACTATTTTTTATTTTCGTCGCTAATTAGCGACGGATTTAGCGACGAGAATCACATTCGGGCACATTCGCAACTTTTTGATTTTTTCATCGCTAAATCCGTCGCTAAAATCACACTCGGGCACATTTGCGACTATTTTATATTTTCGTCGTTAAATCCGTCGCTTTAGCGACGAAAATCACATTCGGGAACTTTCGCGACTATTTTATATTTTCGTCGCTAAATTCGTCGCTAAATAGCGACGGATTTAGCGACGAGAATCACATTCGCGACTATTTGATTTTTTCGTCGCTAAATCCGTCACTAATTAGCGACGAAAATCACATTCTAGCACATTCGCGACTATTTTATATTTTCGTCGCTAATTCCGTTGCAAATTAGCGACGAATTATTTTTCGTCGCAAAATTAGCTACGATTTTTTTTCGTCGCAAATTAGCGACGGATGTAGTGTTCGTCGCTAATTCCATCGCAAATTAGCGACGAAAAAAATTTATCGCTAATTTGCAACGAAGTTTGTTTTTCGTTGTTAATGCCGTCGCAAATTAGCGACGAATTTTTTTCGTCGCTAATTTTTCGTGGCTAAATTCTCATTTTTTTTGTAGTGCTCTATATAAACGATATAATTGTCTTTGGATTTCTTCATTTTCGTCAGGAACCTTAGTACGCAATGTGAGCAAACTTCGAAACTTCTTTTGTGACATGTTGGTCTGGATGAATGATACGTGCACTTTCTACCCATTTTACTTCGACAGATGTTCTTCAAAGTACTCATTATGCTGCAAACTCATTGGATCAGGGTTATAGGCAAACAAAAGACATCAAGCGTAAAGAAACGGATAAAGAAATGAGTTTGCGGCTTGGGCAGGCCTCTTTATCAAATCTTTGAATAAGTTTGCAGCTTGGGCAGGCCTGGCTCCGGTCCAATCGGGCCATGATCGGATCTAGTTATGACAAGATCTGACTTGTAGAGGCTAGAAGTACAAATCCTACACCACTATATGAGACGAGACATAATCCAAATTAAAAGGCTAATCAAATAGCGATTACAAGATACGCTAAATTCAAATGGTATAAACTTTGGTTTATGGTTTGGGAAATATCTCTACTAATAAATAACAGCCACATTTCGACATGTATCAACACCGAATGGCAAATTTTTACGCAGCAAAAGCTTTCAACAAATCTTTTTACACATTTATCATTGGATAGATGACACATGAATGAATATAATACCTTTCCTTTTTCCTCCATTCTCTTGTCCAAAGTATTACTGTCTATCTTAACAATCATAGTTACGAGAATAAAGAAATGAGTTGCTGATTTCCTCGTATCATTAAGGATCATGTAAATTCATTCTTTTGGTTATTAAAAAACCTCCAAGAAAACTCAAAAGAAGAGAAATCATTAATTCAATGAATTATTCTGAATTATTTTACTCGCATAATAATTTCTTAACAAGTTGGCCTCTATGCCATGGATCCTGGTAAAGGGAGTCTTGATGATGGCGAATTCCAAGGACTGCAAATGTCGTATTTGCCATCATCCAAATTGAATAAACACAGACCATCCGGTACGACGCTCCATAAACAATTGTGTGGGCATCGTTCATAATCTCTAGTCTGTACATAAACATCAAAGTAGTGAAATTGACCCGGCCACTGAAAGCTACAGAAGTAGAGAGTGCTTCTTATGAACACGTTGGGTCGAAATACAAAGGACCAGTAAGCAGCCGGACCAATCGAATGGAAGCCAAGATCATTATTCTTGGATTTACAGTGGACTGTGAGAGTCGGCGCTCCGGGCAAATTGTTGGTGATTAGAATATGAACTTTAGAGTGCTTCAACGGACCGTTGGGTTCAGCAGCTTCACACACAAAGCAAAACAACACAAGGGAAGCCAACGACACCAAAATGAGCCTTGTTGGTTTACCCATCTTTCAAGGCCTGTCTTTGTTTGAGAGAACAGTGACAAAGGAGACTCTGCAATCTACTCTATTTGAAGGAGGAAGATGATGATTGTTTTGTAAATCAAAGAGCTTAATTGGAAATTATTTGGGCAGGCCTCTTTTCTAAATCCACCCATGTCTTATTAGATTAACAAAATCGGCCATAATGGTATCTGTATTCATACAGTTTCCTTTAACGTAGTTATTTTCCTTTTATGGTTTTCTATCAAATTAAAATTTATTGCTATTTAGAAAATAAAAACCAGCCTCCTCTTCATCATTACTCTTACAACAACTTGTATATTCTTCATCCCTCCTATCTCAAAAGCTCACTTTTGTAACGGTCCGAATTTTCGATCATTTTCCCGGGATTTATGAAATAAATATTTGACCAATGCACTTATAGTGAGATCTCACTCGGAACAGTGCATTCACGGGATGCTAACCTTAGGGGTAAGGCTATTACGAGATTGAGTTCGCACGACCAAAGAACTCGACCTTGATTCGACCTTCGACCATAAGGATTGTCGAGGGGATGTTTTGGGCCAACAGAGAGCGATCTATTTGATTGATCGTGTCCGAAGGGAACTAGCGACAGACCCTCGCAATTACATGACAATCGAGGTCGTCTTGGTTCGAGCAAACTTAAACGTGATTTGACTTAGTGTCGGTCACGGGTCGAGGGCGCGTAATCCCAATGAGCCATCCGTTAGCAAGAGATAAGCTAAAGTTGCGATTGTTTGATTCTAGTCATTTCTTGGAATTCGGGCCCGGGAATCGAGAATTTTGAAAGTGACAATTTTGAGCGGCCGATGACGTTTTTGGCTTGTCCAACCTTGGGGCCACC